GGTATTTATGTTATAAAAGTAAATGTTACTATTTCTGATTCTATTTCTTTGGTATTTGATACCAGTTGTGGTACTCATATTTGTGGAAATATGCAGGGCCTAAAGAACAATAGAGTCTTGGAGAAAGGACAAGTGGACCTTCGCGTGGAAAATGAAGCAAGAGTTGCTCCATTAGCTGTAGGAATTTTTCATTTGTTTTGTCTTCTTGCATGGTTTTGGAAACTAAGAATTGCTACTATGTACCTGCTGTAAGCAGAATATTATTCAATTATTTGGATTTGAAAGGATTTCATATTTTGATTAAAAGACAAGTGTTGTTAATTGATCATTATGATTTCTTTGATAGTAGAGGTCTATTAAAGAATGGACTTTATATTCTAAGTAAAAGCGTGCATGTTTATAACATTAATACCAAAAGGTTCAAGTCTTATGACTCAAATCAAGTTTTTCTTTAGCATTGTCATTTGGAACACATAAGTGAGAAGCACATCAAAAGCTTCATGGTGATGGAATTTTGAGCTCATTTGATTATGAATCATATGAGAGATGTGAATCTTGCTTAGGGCAAAATGACTAAAGCTTCTCTTACTGAACATAGTAAAAGAGATAAAAGACTTGTTGGAACTTATACATACTGATGTATGTGGACCAATGAGTATAAATGTTAAAGGATACTATCAGTACTTTATGGTTATGTTTATCTAGAAACATAAGTCTGAATCTTTTGAAAAGTTCAAAGATTTTCAGAATAAAGTACAAAATAAACTTGATAAGAAAATTAAAGCTCTTCGATCCGATCAAGTAGGAAATTTTTGAGTTAAAGCGCTTAATGATCATCTGAGAAATTGTGAAATTGTTTCACAACTTACTCCTTTTGGGAACACCGCAGTTGAATGGTGTATCTAAAAGGAGAAACCGAACTTTATTAGATATAGTTCGGTCAATGATGAGTCATGTAGATCTTCCATTATCCTTTTGGGGATACTCGCTAGAAACATCTACGTTTACACTAATTAAGTAGATGTCCATCAAAATCAGTTGAGAAGACACCATATGAGATGTGACTTGGAAATGTTCCAAATTTGTCTTTTCTGATAATTTGGGATTCTGATGTGTGTATCAAACAAACATATGTTTACTGATAAGCTTGGATCCAAAATCTGATGAGTGCTACTTTATTAGTTGTC